TTTTAGGAGCCTGTACCGTGGTTGATGTTGGCCAATAAGCACTACATACGCAAGATCTCCCTCGACGGTAACAGTTATGAGATGGCAGCACAAGGTTTTGACAATGTGGTCTCGCTTGATGTTGATTTGACGGAAAAGAAGGTTCGTGCAAGAAGAACCGCTCTGTTCGAGGCACAGTACCGTCGAGTACTTGTCGGTATGTTGACTCCTGGGTAGAACACCTCAATAAATTTAGGCGTATATGGTAGACCAAGGAAAGCTACGTTTGTTACGAGTGAACCTTGACGAGATGGACGATCCAGTGTCTTCATACGAAACTGTTCTACGCCATAACATATTTGGTATCGAAGGTGAGCAATACTTGATATTCTTCGCATCTCCTAACCCTCCTTCTTCGCCCTCAAATACGATACTTCCTTCCTTTTTGTGCGGAACCTCCGAAGTAGTCGATACCACTGCTTTGACTTCAAGGTCTTCCAAAACCTTCACAAATCACCAGAGCCCTTCACGGGCGTCCTGGCCCAGTTTTCCCTCCCTCCAGAACAGTATTATATGAAGCAGCTCTCGACCCGACGTCTGAAACGAGTAGAGCTCTAAGTTTCAACCAATCAGTTCGGAGCCGGCTTTTTGGGGGTAGAGTCCGAGTCGTTGCGAGGGCACCGAAATAGCAGGGTGCCTGAATGTAGCAGTGCTGCGGCTTGTGGACTTTTTGGACTCTATCGTCTCTCAAGTTGGCCCTTGCGAGCGTCCAATAGTATTTTCCCAAGGCATCTACTGGCTCAGCAGTTGAAGGGAGACGGTAAAGCGGGAGGGAATAGAGAAGGAAGGAAGGAAAAGAAGGAAGGAGGAAGAAAAAAGAAGAGTAGGGAGGCTCCGCGGTTGACAAGTATCCTGGGACGGCGCGATGCCACAGTTCGGAAGCAGGGCACGCAGATCCCCCGTGAGGAGTCGTATCTTGTCGCTGGAGGGAAGGGTCATATTTGACTTTGTGAATATTCTCAAATGTTGACTTTTCAACAGTCTGCGGTTTTCTTTTTCTATGACCAATGATGGACTTTGAAAAAATGTCGCTTGAAGAGAAATGGAGGAACTGGAACATAGGAAGATGATAGGTACTATTAGGTTTGGGGAGGGGTGTCGGGCCAAAGGAGGATTTTCAAGGCGGTGGGGAGGTACATTTCGCGAAAGTTTTCCTAGGAGGTGCTTCTGCTAGGAAGCAGCGCTGCACACCGTGGAACACTGGCTTTGTCCATCCAGGAAGTATAATGTTGATGGAGCGAACCCGGAGAGCTAGAACCTTGGTATCTGAATTTCATCATAAGTTTGGTCCACAAGTACAGTAACCTCACCCACTCTTGCTTCTAGACCAGTTCCCACCTGTAACAGCTTCGTCACCTTCATTTTTTTCAGGATTTGCAATCGACTGGGTCGGAAGAAAAATCTACATGCTCAACAGACAAGAAAAATCCATTCGTGTCTGCGAACTTGATGGCCGTTTCTGCAGAACTCTTATCAGAGACCGAATTTCTCAGCCAAAGGTATGAGCTTGTAGGCCGTATTTTTGACGATTACGGTGAACCAGCTGGTAACGGACCACCGAATCTTTCTTCAGGCAATCGCCGTCCACCCTGGTAAAGGCTATCTGTTCTTCACCGAATGGAGTCTGCAACCGTATATCGGCCGTATGTCGCTGGATGGCTCTCCAGAACTTGCCGACCCTATCGTGAAGCTGGCTGAGAACGATCTAGGATGGCCGAACGCTCTTACTATCGATTACTACTCGAATAGGTACTTACTGAAGGATTGATCATCCGGCGTGCACCAGAAACTCCTTTGTTTCAGGTTATTCTGGGGTGACGCTCATTTGAACGAGATCGGATTCATGGATCTAGACGGTGGCGGCCGACGTCACATCCCAGCGCAGCGTACCAGTCATGTGTCGAGTATGGTAGGTCCCTTTCACAGTATTCCCTGGGGCTATACTTGTCGCTGGAGCTAATCGTCAAAATTCAGGTGGTATTCGATGACTACCTGTACTGGTCAGATTGGAACCTTCCGAGAAGTAGTTCGCTGTGACAAATGGACGGGTGCGAATGAGACAGTACTAAAGAAGACTATTCAGTTACCTAATGACCTGCGGGTACGCCTTCCTTAACCTCACTGTTTGCAATTACTTTGGCACCTTAGCGCTTTAGTAAACACATTCGAAGACACAACCCACACTGGTCGTGTGGGCGGAGTCAGGTCCACCACTGCGCCTCGCTTATTGAGCCGCTCTCCTTTCGTATGCGGTACAGAGAAGAAGGCGGCAGATAAGGAAGGCTCAGTACTAGGTCTGACTCTACCCATACAACCAGCGCGGACTGTGCCTTCAAAGAGACATGATGCCTCGAACGGAGTACAGTAACAACGTGAGATTCAGATGATCCATCCACTCCGACAACCAGCGTATCCGAACCCCTGTGGAACGAACAACGGCGGTTGCTCACATCTTTGCCTCATTGGTGCAGGCGGTAATGGTTATACATGTGCCTGCCCTGATCAATTTGTGCTGCTGGGCGATAACAAGGTGAGCTCTAAACAGAAAATTTCTACTGCAACAACTTGGTACTTAAAGTGAGAACGTATATGCTATTGAAAATAAGTTGTGAACAAGCTCTGTCCATGTTCGAAATGCTTTTCTTCCGAGAATGCCCCTCCTTTGCACTTAACTCTTGACAT